AAAATGGTGTCTGACCATACTTTTTACAATGACTTAGACCATGCACATGGTCCGAGGTTCGATCCCCTCCTGACGCACACCTGATATCTATGGCTGGCCTGCAAAATCTGGGCTACCGATATCCATGCTGAAAATTCCATACTTGTACCAAAAATACAGTGTGGAATCAAACTGTAACCAAAATAATAAAATAAGTATAGGCAACGTAATTTAAAAGATGATGTATGCAGATGAATTATTCAGGATTAAAAGAGTAACTATTTATATAATAACTAGACAAGAAATGGGTGGAGTTCAGATTTCTCTTGGAAACAAGAATGGACTAGAGACACAATATAAAAGATAAAACAACAGAGTGAATTTATACATATTAACATAGAGAGCTCCCAACGGGTGGGGTGAATTATATTATTATTATTATTCCCTTGAGTTCCGAGTGGAAAATACTGCTGGCTTCAACAACACCACATCTCCACTTTCTTCTATTCTCTGCTGTCCTTTTCAGTTGTCTAGATCCATGACTGACCATAATCTCTCATCTCCTCCTCTCCTAATCATCTTCGACACACGATCTCCATGTCACTCTCGCACCGACGATCCACTCGTCCATCGTTTCCCATTGGGATTCCACTCGAATGATGGATGGCCTGCATTGCGCACTATGTCACTCAACAGCCTTCTAATGTGTGCATGTTCAATCCGTCTTTAAACCATTTCTCCTACATATTTGTTGGGCAATCCACTGTTGGTTGGTTGGTTTGTCCCATTGCAGACTTTCTTCTTGCTGCTTCTTTCAGTATTGAGCCAACCAGCGAAGTTGGCAGCTGTTGATGAAAGTCTGCAACAGACTGTTGGAAATCCTTTCCGTGACACGCAGTGCAAGTTTCTGATCCCTATCGAAGAACTGACTGACTAACTTCACTGATATTTTTTTGTTGAAAATCCAAATCTTACTGTTTGTGCTGTTTGAGCTATTGCAGAAGATTTCCAAACTGGTTTCATGTTGATGAAGGTATATCTTGCTGGTCTTTCCGATTCTGGCTGGCTATGACATCTTCATCTATGCCACGTGTTTGTAGTTGGAACAATGCTGACTACCTCTGTCAAATCTCTCCCGTTGATGGTGATTGGCGCCGACCATGCACATGGTTCGAGGTTCGAGCCCACGCTGGCGCACACCTGATATCTATGGTCGGCCTGCGAATTTTGGGCTACCGATATCCACGCTGAAAATTCCATACTTGTACCAAAAATACTGTGTGGAATCAAGCTGTAATCAAAAAACAAAATATAAAAAATAATATTGTCGCTGTTAGTTGGTTGGTTGGTTAGTTATCTTCATCACCTCCGTTTCAACCTTCTCTACGATCACCTGAATGGATTCTTGTCTTCGCTGCCAACGAGTCTCTTCTGCCAGTTTTCGCCTGCCTCCAAGTCATCGAGTTTGTGTGACATAAGAAATATATCATCTGCGAAATCCAGATCTTATAGAGTCTTCTAATCAGTCAGTGCATGGTGTTCCTGTCTCCTCGCTACCCACTCACAATCTGACTCAAAATCCAGTCCACCACAATTAAGAATATCATCAGTTATAACAGACATCCCTGTCTTACCCCTGTATTCACTTCGAGCGCCTCACTAAGTCTTCCACTGTGTATCACTTGACACGTGGCATTGTCATACAGCTGTTGAATGAGGGGTGAATAGTATGGTAAAGTTATAAAATAGAAAAATTGATTTAATTTAGTAGATTTGGAATCTTCACATTGAGTTCAACTCAGTCAGTAAGTGAAAATCAAAATCAGTATGTGAATGGAATGTTACGCAACAGAACAAAACAATGATGGTTACCAGGTAGGATAGTACGAGAATTAGTCACACTTTTTCTGTATGCATAGGTTAGGTCCATGGTCTTTTGATAATAACAATGGCTTCTACGAACTGAAGTAGTCATGCTTTCCTGTGTGTATTGATTATTTTGAAAGACTGTAGGCTCATTTCCACTAAATATCCTGTGTCAGTCAATTAGGTGTCTGGCAAGTGAGCTTGAGAACTCTTTGGTAATCTTATGCTTAGAGAATCTAGTAGGCGCTCTCCTCCTCTCAGTTCTTCCTATGTACTTGTTGCCACAGGTGTAAGGGAATTAGTAAATACAGCTGGGGTTAGCATACAAAGCAGGATACTTATCGTTAGTGTAGAACTTGGGCACTGTGGTAGAATGTAATTCCATATTAGATTTGTGGTTACTGCACAAGCGATGAAGCAAGTTCAGCATTCAGTAAATATATGTTATCCTGGAATTCTTGAACTCATAAAATTATGATTTTCGCACATATGGTACTCTTTATTTTTAAGTAGGCAAATAGTTTTAAACAAATATTTTGATTACAGGATTTCATCATGAGAGCTGACATCGGTTGGTTAGAGAACCATTGGAAAACCTGCCACACGGAGTACTGCACAACCAGCTGTTTCGTCAGCCTAGTTTGGGAATCTCTCTCCAGCAGTACACACCCACCCCACTGTCAGGGTTCGAACCCAGGACCATATTCTGTTTACAAGTTGAGGGGGCTTGTAGACCATTAACCAGCCACCATGAGCCGATACAATGACCAGCCAGCCAGTCCATGAATTCAAACTTCTATCAATTCACGGACGAGATAGAGCCACTGGTATTAGCCAATGCCATCAATCGCGAGTATTTGTTCTCACCCTCAACCTGCTGTACACTACTGGTCATGATGGAATCCTGTAATCAATCAATCAAATCCCTACAAACCAATATTTGAATATCAATGAGATGACTACTGGTGACTGGCCTTATTCAGGCAAGTAGCTAGTTACCTGGGCGTTTTACTGGGAAGCTGTGACCAGTAGGGTACAGCAGCTGGAGCTTGGGGACAAATACCCTCCACCAACGATGGCGTTGGCTAGTGCCAGTCATGCTATATCGTGCGTGAATTGGCAGAAGTTGGCATTCATGGACTGGCTGGTCATTGGATAGGTGGGTCCCAATGGTTGCTTAATAGTCTACAAGCAAGCTCGCTGGCCTTGTGACCAGAAGGTCCTAGGTTTGAACCGCAGTCGGGTGGGTGCGTATTGCTGCAGAGCCAGTCCCAAACTAGGCTGACGGAATGGCTGGCTGTTCAGTGCTTCCTGTGGCTGGTTTTTCAATGTTTCTCTAAACACCAACCGATGTCAGCTCATGATGACATCCTATTACCAATCAAACAGACAGAATCCCCACAAACCAATAGATAAATGTCTTTGAGATTGACGAAATATTGACTGGTCGCGTAATTATGACGTTTCAGTTTCTTGTAACACCTCGACAAATTACCGAGTATCTTCTGAACCATAAAGGGAGTTTCATCATTTTATAACGTGAACAAATTTTATCATAACTAAAGAATGTGTTACTTCCTTTGGTTTATTCATCCTGAAGTTTTACTGAGAATTCAGAGGATCATATTTAATATATTTCCGTATTGGTTTATTTATTAGATGTATCACACACACGGTCAGTGAAACAGTATTATTATTCATTACTGGATGATGGTGTCTTTCGAACACAATTTATCTATTTATTGCTCATCATCCTTTCATCAATTATAATCTCATACAACTTCAAAACCTGAGTTTTATAGTTTTCTTTGTTCTCTTCTATATGTCGTCGCCGGGGTAGTATTAGAGTTCTCCAGATGTTGATGTGGATAGGTGTTGGATCATTCCTATTACACGTATTCCCCCATCTCAGTTTATTCGATAAACAAAGTTTCCGTTATCAGTCTCTCCCTCTCTCCACCCTATTGCATTAGATTTTAAAACAAACTGTCATCTTATCCCATCCTCCTATATTGTGTGGTTGTGTGTAATTCCTTAACTGTTCTCCAGATTTCTTATCTTATTCGGGTCAACTAATGTAGATTTTGCAGTTAGGTTTTTGTGCTCCGCTAGTCTGACTGTACCTGTCCTACTACTTTGACCTATGTATTTGACCTGATAATCACTACACCAGGGTATTAGATAAACTAAACTGTTTTGTTTTGTTGGCTTCACCGACCGGATCCTTTAACCGACAAAGTTTGTTTCTCATTAAGTTTTTTTGGGAGTATGAATGCCACATTCATTCCGCCCTGCATCATTAGGAATTTTACACTGTGTAGTTTCCGAGGTTGCCTCTTTGTATGGAAGTACTACTGATGATTTATATTCCCTGTTGTTGGTGTTGTCATTATCATGTGCATATTTGACATACATGTCGTCATTAATATTATTATTACCACTATCACTGTTATTATTATCCATTTTATTTTTACACTTCCCCCTACATACTTCCTGATTAATTTATCAGGGTAATTATTAATTTAATTTCAAAGCTACTGTTATATATCTCACTTCATGTCTTGGATTTCTCTTGGTACTATTTAGTTTTTGTGCTCTATTGTCACTTAAGCATTTCACTAGTCCCATTTTTATTGACATATATATGATGGGATGATGGGAAATCCAAATATCGGTTTGAATGAGTGTGGGTTTCCTGTAAACCCTAATCTGTTTAACTTCCTAACCCCTTTCCTTTTTACGCTACAATCTAACACTGGAAGCTCCCCTTCCTTCGAATCAACTGCAAATACATGTAATAGGAATGATTCAACACCTATCCACCCATACATATAGGAAATTCTACTATTACCCCAACGACGACATATAGAAGAGAACAAAGAAAACTATAAAACTCAGGTTTTGAAGTTGTATGAGATTATAATTGATGATATAATTATGAACAAGAAATAAACAAATTGTTTTCGAAAGGCATCATCATCCAGTAATCAATAATAATACTGTTTCACTGACCGTGTGTGTGATACATCTAATAAACAAACCAATATGGAATTACTTACTACCATAGTGCCATATATATATATATATATATATATATATATATATATATATATATATATATACTCAGTATTTAATTGTATTTCCTCTATTTTTAGCTACCCAGTATAAGTGAATCAGAAGACAAATCTATTCGATTCTCTGAAATCCCAGAACCTAAACTATGCAGAAATAGTCAATTTTTGCCGAGTACATCATTGACAGATAAACAGAAGACAAATAATCATCCATTAGCCTGCTCACTGTTAAATTCACGTGAATTAATGCATCAGATCCAACTGGCATGCAGTATTGATGTTGACTTCACTGAGAGAAAAATTAATCTCAAGGAAGATAAACAAAGTTTAATAATCGATGAAAATATTGACCTTGAATCTACTGACGACGATGATGATGATGATGCTGATGACGCTAAAGAAGAAAATAGGCCAAATGACAATACTGTAATGCCTTTACAAGAAAATGATACAAAATCACCAACACATTTCTCAATACCACCACCATTTTATGGTCATCAGGTTAATACTAAAGGGGACATTGTCGAACGGGAATGTGCTAAAGATGGCTTTCTGTCCATAAGCAGTCCAAAATCATCTACTGAAGTACCTGAAGTTGATCCAGATTTGAACAATAATAATAATGGTAATAATGTCCAGTGTTTAAGTATGACACCGGCATTAATAAATCCATTGTATGAGAAGAAGGTGAACAAGAAGACGAAGAATCCTTCAGTTTCTGTTATCCGAGTATGTCAAATTTTTTGTTGGTGATGCTTTAGCTATGTATTTTCTTCTTTTGTTTGTTTGTGTGTCTGTGTTCTAACTGAAATAATTATTTTGTGATAGGCTCTATATAAAATGTGTACTTAAACTTCAGAAATGTTTATTGGTTAAAATCTAGAGCCTAAAGAAGGACACTCATACTGACGCCACCAAACTTTGTTTGTCATTTTCCAGTTGTCGACCAGTTTTGATTGCTCAAGTGAAAGACAGGCTGCTTAGTTGTGCCACTTCTCTGTGTATCTACAAGTTTAGTCGCTCCTGTGGAGAAAGCTGGCTATATAGGGCGAACAACAACTAAAGTTGCTGAACAAACGCACCATTAATGAGCATCTTCCTCCCTTCATGGTTCGGAAAAGGCCGAATAAAATCTATAAGAAGTTCTATGTTGACTCATTTTAGTGATGATGATGATGATGATGACAGCGGTCACCAAGTGGACAGAAGTAGCGCATTCGAAGTTATCTATCGCATTCCATCGACCTTTTCCGACAGAATTCCAACTCGCCTTCTTCACATATCCGAAGAAGCCATGGGAATCAATTCGAGAGAACAATCCCAGTGTCTTTGAATACGACTAAAGAAGTTTGTTCTACCTTTTGTCTCTCTTTAGCTTAGCCTAGGTGAATTCTAATCCTAACCCTCTTCTCACCCTTTCCTATTCTTCATTTCTTTAGTACTTTCATGATATTTATTTGAACTCTGACTATCTGTCCACTTCACAAAGCTTAAGTATTATGTAACTTTTGAGATGTGACCTAATTACTTATTTACTGAATTGTCTACAAATACACGTACATATTACCACCTTCGTTATTCTTATCGCCAGCTGAACATACTTCTTGTAATTTCGTTGCCACTGACCTGATGATCATTACTTTTTGCTGTTATTATAGTCGTCGTTATTACTGACGTTTAAATCACTTCTCAAGAACTGATTTGTTTTTCGAGTTTGAGTTTGACTTCGGAGTGATTGATTGATGTCAGTTAGAGAAGTCAGAGGAGTACTGCGAGACAGCTGTTCAATCAGCCTAGTTTGGGAATCATTCAGTCAGTATGCAACCATCCCGCTGGGGTTGGAACCCCGAACCTTCCGGTTACAAGGCAAGCTGGCTCGTTTATCACTCAGCCTATGGGACTCGACGCGATTCAATGGCCAGACAGACCATGAATTCTAACTTCTACCAATTCGTGATGCATTTAGCGCGACTAGCACCAACCAGTGTCACCATGGCGGGAAATCCATCCTCACACTTGACGACTTGATAGACCTTACTGGTCACGACTTTTCACTAGAACTCCAGGAAGTTAGAATTCGCGCACTTGCCATTGGATCGCGTCGAGTCCCAGCGAATGGCTAAATGGCATATGAGCTAGCTCGCCTTATAACCTGAAGGTCCTCGGTTTCAGCCGCACTCAGGTGGGTGCGTACTGACCCGATGATTCCCAAAAGCAACCTGATGAATCAGCTGTCTGGCACTACTCCCCCAGCTGGCTTTCAATTCTTCTCTAACTGATATTAATCAATCCGTAGTTGAGCGGAAGAAGAAAATCTAATCCTTACAAATCAATTTTTGAAAATTTAATTGCCTTAATATGTTGATGTTTTGGTACACGACAAGCTGGAATGAAAGTTAGAGCAATCAAAGATTTTTTTGCTTCCTAATTCGGCTTGAAGGTATTCATGAGATTATCAGTATTGACAATATGATTGACCAACTGAGTTTCAGAGCAGAACTTTCCACTAAGGGTGTAACAGCAGAAAGCGAGACAAAGAAGCCAGGGTTTATTTTCAATTGATCAACCCGCTATTTATGGATATTTATTCCGTTTTTATTCTAAAATCAATCATCATTGACCGAGCGAGTGATTTTGGTTTATGTTAAACGACATGAAAGAGAATGTTCAAATATACATACATATAGTATAGTATCCTGTTGCGCCAATGTTGTATTGAACTGTGGAAATAGTGTATGTGAGAATAATATTCCACTGTAACACACTGTGTTGTATGTATCACAGCACCTCAAGGAGAGTGAGGTGTGGGCGGACGATTCTATCTGCCATAATCCATATAGCACACAAAGTTAGTGAGAAAAGTTCAAAGTGGATATGATAATCAGTGATGTGCAGGAGATAGTATATGAATATGGAAAATAGTAAAAGTATAATGAGTCTTGGAACTCACAAAAAGGGAATGCGTATTCACCACTGAAAGGGATTTTGAGCCATGTTACCAGTAATCTAAAGCCATTTGTTCTTAGCACCTCGCAAATCCAAGTCAGTCAACGCAAACCTCTCTACAATGTGTTAAACCGACAGTTTAGAACTTCATACTTTGAATCCATGGTTTGTTCTCATCCCCCCCCTTTTAACTCTGTTCCTCATCACTACTTTGTTAGATAAGAAAGTTAATATCCTGGCATACACGACATACTGTGTTAATTTCGCATCTCAGATGACTCATATTCATCACCTCATCAACTGACTGTTCCTCCTAACCTAACAATTTATGCTTTAAATCACTATTGCTTAAGATGGAAGACAGAACCCAAGCCCTCATGTTCAGAGACGCCTAGCCTCTTGAAGTCTTCCACTGTTAATAGTCACGTTCCACAGACATCCACACGTCTATACCAGAAATGGTGTAAGATGACAAATGCCACACACCAGTCTTTTGTATCCGTGTACTTAGATTTTGTTAGCAATCAACTTTTTATCAATTATGCAATTTCCTATATAAGTGAAGTGGTCAGCACATTCAATCAGTTGACTAACTATCTTTAAACTAGGAGTCTATAGGGACCAATCCTGCAGGTCCACTATACTTGTGACAGGGGAGAGGAAAGGCGTGCCAAACATACCAAGATTTCTAATGCAGACGTTCAAAAGACTACATTATTTTTCGGTATCTGAACCTAGATGGACAAATACTTCTCCATACTCTAATATCTCTCGGAACGTTTGCTGGAAACAAATCACCGTCTAATTAACGAAAACATCTGTAATGATATTTGACAAAACTGGAGACACAATCAGCATCCCTGATAAACGTGATTGCTTGTCAACACTTCTTGCATAGGCTTGAATACAACTGAGTGATATTTAAGTATTGGTTTGTAGGGATTTTGTTTGAATGTTGACAGGATTTCATCATGACCACTAGGATACAGCAGGTCAGACATGAGAATAAATACTCGCCATTGGTGACACTGGCTAGTGCTATTCACGCTATCTTGCGCGTGAATTGGCAGAAGTTGGAATTCATGGATTGGATGGCCCATTGTATCGGCTCACGGTGGCTGGTTAATGATCTCGTCTCAAAGCCAATAAGATTTACACAGGTATAGTTCTCCCAAGCAGCATTTAGTTTACGCACAGTTGTTCAACCTAGAATTTAGGTATTAAGTTAATACAGTTAATCTCCCAACTGATACAAGGATAAAATTTGGGAACTGTGGTGGCAGAGTATATATAACTTCATTATGGGGAAAATTTTATTTTTAAAGAGTGTCACACACAATGTGTGTTTGTTATTTATTAATATTTACTGATGACCACACACTTCGAGCACAGTTGATCGTTGCTACTACTCATAATCAAATCAAGACACTACTCACTTTCTTGCTTCGTCGTTTACATACATGCATAAGTAAACACTGATGATGATTAGACAACATTTGATTGAATCAAATCAATCAGTAATATGAGATGAGAAGAAAGTACATTCGGAAATAATAATAATGATGATATTAGTGTTATCAATAAATACGATCAGATGGAGAGGCAAATAAGATGTTTTCAAAGTAAAATAAATACTACATGAACTGAGATAGGATGCATCTGTGTAGAGCTTCTTGTTGATCGTCTTCTTATGATTTGAGTCAGGACTGAGGTACTGCTCAGATGCTAAGACAAAAGAAAGTTGGTTGTCTTAATGGATCTATCTCCGAGTCTTTCAAGTGAAGTCGGATACACAATACAGCACAGTTGTATCAGGAATAGTTGTTGATGGCCTAAACAGGTTCGTGGACCATTCTATTCCTTAAGATCCCAGAGCCCATGTGCAAAATTTGTTTAGAATTAGGGTTTCCACGATCTTCTAGGTGGACTTCAGTGTTCACCAGTGTGTTGATAAGCTCCCAGAACTCATATTCTATGTTTCTTTTTCTATGAGGACTCCTATAGTGAAGTCAGGGAACAGGACCTAAATGCTAAAGAACACACGTGTCTAACCAAGTCACAGCGTTTCGATGAGAAGACAAAAGTCTACCAAGTTAATTATGGGGGTTAATGTTGTTTATAATTTTCAAGTGAGCTATAATGAACCACAGTGTATATGAGTGTTAATTTTGTTGATAACAGTTTAAGAGAAACCGCGGCACTTTAGTAATTCTTAATCTTTAATTATATGTCTGTAAAATGAACCTAAAAAATATATTAAGTCGCATCATTCTGGAGAAAAATAAGGAATTTATTGCATGCAGAACTTCACTAACCCAGAACAAAATGGATGTATTCAGGAAAGGCCAATCATGTGATGTTCAAATTACGACTCTAAACATCGTCGTCATCATCATCACAGAAAAAAGCATACAATGGTTGTCAAACCTCTCTCTACCTCAATAATGTCATCGACTTTGGAAAGGCCTTTGACAGACAACACTGACCAAGAAGTAATTTGGAAACTACTTCAAAATTACGGCGTGCAGTGTCCAAGTTTTTGTCAACCTCATTAAACAGCTATATCACAGTGCCACGTATCAGCTTATCCACAACGGAAAACTCAGCGAAGTCTGCATTTGAAGTGAGTGAATACAGGAGAAAGACAAGCTGGTTGGCTGTCTATCATCACCGAGGATGATATTCTTAATTGTGGTGGACTGGATTATGCGTCGAACTGTGCGTTGAGGGTGAGTGAGTGAGAAGACAGGAATATGCCGGACTCTGGAAGAAATGGATTTCCCAGATGACTTATGTTTAATGTCACACAAACTCGAAGACTTAGAGGAAGGAGAAAACTGGCAACAAACTGGCAGAAGAAGCAGGCTGTGAAAGTAGCACTCCAGGTGGACGTATAGAAGACGGAAGTGATGAAGATAACCAATCAGTAGTAACAACAACCAGCAACAGTCACTATCGAGAAACTTGCAAGAGGTCACTTTTTCGCTTATCTAGGCAGCTAGAATTGTTTCAGTCGCAGGCAGTCGGGACGGATGAAGATGTCAAAGCCCCTCAGAATCGGAAAGCTGAGATACGCCATCATCCCAATGAAACCACTTTGGAAATCTTCTCCAATAACTCAGACAGCATAAACAGGAAGAATCGGATTTTCAACACAAATATGGAGTCTATCAAATATTGCTTCTACACGAGTGAGAAACATGGCTGCGGCTTTACGACAAAGATTTCCAACAGATTACTGCAAACTTTTATCAACAGCTGACAGCTTCACCGGCTGGTTCCATACTGAAAATCAAATGTCCAGAAAGAATCAGCAACCAGAAATTGTAGGAACAAACCAAGCAAGAGACGATTGATTGCTCAACAAACATGTAGGAGAAATTGATTGGACATGGATTGATCGGTCATACATTGGGGAAAGAGGCTGTCGAATGAAATCGCGCGCTATGAAGACTATCCATCACTTGAGTGGAATCCCAATGGGAAGAAACGGACGAATAGGTCATTGGTGTGAGGATGACATGGAGATGATCGTTTGCGGAGGAGGAGATGGGAGATTATGGTTAATCGTAGAGCTGGCCAACAGAAGAGGACGACAGAGAATAGGAGAAAGTAGAGATGTGTCGTTGTTGAAGCCAGCCCTATGTTTGACTTTGGAACCCAAGGGAATAACAATAATCATATTAATGAACTTTGTCGTATTGCTTTCAGAAATAAACAGTATTTCTGATATTGTTTAAGAAATACTACTATTGCTAATGAGTGATAGATATATCAGATGAAACTTCGTATAAGAAAACATTTCATTCCACTGATAGGCGTCATACAGGTGTCAAACGATGAATGAATGTGGTAGTGAACGTATCCTGATGAAAGTTATTCATGCAAATCATCACTAATTTCCATTACATTCTGAACTATACTCAGCGAGTGTGTTTGTAACAAACGCGGTGTACACAGAATGGTAGTTCTGAAATTTGAGTCAAGTAACTACCAGAGAGCAGTAGTACTTCTTAAAATTCTCAATTCAAAGATTTACACACATGTCAATCAAAAATAATGATGTACACTCCTAAATAATATATTTGACTAAGTAATTTTCAATGCGAATCTATTAAAATCACATATGAGTACAGGAGGACGGACTACTTATTATTATTACATTATTATTCCTTTGGGTTCGAAAGTAGAACATTACAGCTGACTTCAACAACACATCCCCACTTTCTTGTATTCTGTGCTGTCCTCTTCATTTGGCTAGCTCCATGATTGCGCGAAGTCTGCAATCTCCTCCTCACATGATCTACCCTATGTCACCACAGCACCAAACACCCACTTGTCCGTCGCTTCCCATTTGGATTCCACTCGAGTGATGGATGGCCTGTATTGCGCGTGATATCTTTTGACGTCCTCCCTCCTCAAAGTATACCCCATCAATCCATCTCCAATCCATTTCTCCTACGTATCTATTGGTTGGTTAGTTCCACTATGGAGTTTCTTGTTACTAATTTTTTCTAATCTTCAGTATGGAGCCAGCCGGTGAAGGTGAATGAATGAATTCACATTAAAATATTGAATATCCGAATCTTGTTGTTTATGCTGTTTGACTTATTGCAGAAGATTTTTTCAAATTGGTTTCAGGTGGATGTAGGCATATGTAACTTGTCTTTTTGATTCTGGTTGGCTTTAACATATTCATCCGTGCCATCCACCTGTATTTGAAACGATAATGCCTAGACAAGTGAACGTAGGAAGTAATCTTTGTTAAATCTCTCCCTTTGATGGTGATTCGTGCCTGTTGTTGTTGTTGTTGTTGTGATTCGTCATCACCTCCGTCTCCACCTTCTCTATGTTCATCACATGGATGGAGTCAATTCTGTCTTCACTGCCAGTCAGCCTCTTCACCCAGTTTACTCCTAGTTTTCGCCTTCAAGTCTAGTTATATACACAAAAGTTTTCATCATCACAATTATTATTTGATTCACCATAGTAACGATGGTGATTTTTAACAAATCGCGTTTTTACACTTATTAAGAATAAAATCACAGGAAAACAAACAGTCTTGTTTTCTGTCTAACTTCCTCATGGGTATTTCCCATGATTTAAATATGTTTCACTTATGTCTGTAGATTTGATGATCTTCTGAAGTGTACAAGAGCACAAGAACAAATTTTATTTGGTGAAGATACACTCTGAATTCTTGTTATTAGACAGTTGGAGGCTATCTGCGACAGGAAGCCTTGCTTGATCTAGGTTTCTTGGTTGTTAGCACTCGTGAGCAAGATATGGCTGAAATTTTGAAGGAGCAGCATATGATGTCCCTTATAAGATTCGAACATCTGTCGACCCAGTTCTGCAGTAGTCACAGACGTTACCACCAGGCTATTCAGGCTTGAAACTGACGTCCTCTGGAACTGTACTGTATACTCTAATCGGACACCTATAGGTAACTAGTGTCATCCATGTGTACGGCTGTAAACACATATATGCTGAGAAACAACAGTATTTAATGAACCAACCAACAGTTCCGAAAATTGTTTTATTCTTGCAACTTCACTTCCTGAGTTGGGTAGGCTAGTACCAGTGAGATATGAACAAAACGCCTAAAGATTGTGATAAAAATAGCATTCAGTGCTAACGAATTAACCTCTGTTCTGGAGTAAAGGATCACCTGCCTTACTTTGCCTCTTCTATGTGTGTGTATCTACCAATTTGACTGTTCTTGCTCTGGATTGAGCCAGCCGGTTGCATAGACCATACATTTAGTCGTGAATCTAGTTGGATTTCCAAACATCACCCTGCACAGTGGTTGGTTAAGTAAAGGACAAACAAAATCTATTCGTAGCGCTATCCTATCTCACTCACCTCGTGGATAGAGAACACAAGATTGATGTTAACAAGGTGTGTGGCTTTCAAAGTGATCTACCGCAAAGCGTCTAATCTTAGCTTCTCCTTAAGAGATCGTTTACTTCATATCTCTGAGACTGGCTATCGGGATCTACATTAAAAAGCCTAACTTACGTATCCAGAAGAAGAAGTTGGTTGAGGCACTCTCCTTACCTTGGCCATCTAGGTTCGAATGATCCTCAATTTGTTGTTGTGAAAATTTCCATAATTTTATTTGATATTCTATTTACTTGTCGCTTCTTATCATTTGTGAGTTGGTAAAAGCTAGAATTCATAGACTAGCTGGCCATTGAATTCGCAGGTCCCAGTGAATGGCTGCTTAATGGTCTACGAGCTCGTTAGTCTTGTATCCAGAACGTGGTCCTTGTTTCGAACGCTAGTGGTGTGGGTACGTACTGTTGAAGAACTACTGCTAAACTAGGCTGACGAAACAGCTGACTGTCTGGCAGTACTCCATGTGGCAGGTTTTCAAATGGTTCTCTAACCAACCGATGTCAGTGCTCATAATGAAATCCTTCAACCAAATTCACTTTTTTCATACAACTACGGTAGTCAAAGCCGTGTCAGCGCATAACAAACCGCTTAATTTCCTGAGGTGTAACGAGTCGAACTGTAGTATTTCTTGTGTAAAGTCAAAAGCTGCAACAGTTGAGTTCAGTTCAATACAGTGAAACAAACAAACATCTAAAATTGACAATAAATTATTTGCATATAATCAAAGATTATTTAGTATCTGGACGATGACAAGTAGATGTGCGCCACTGTCTGTATCACTAATAGTTATCAAAGGTTGATTCTCACAGTATAAATAACCCCAACCATGCAATCTACATCACCCTACAAGGACTGTATTGGATCCACTAGTTTCTACTGTCCACTTAAAGTATCGAATCCAGTCAGTCCTACAGGAGGTCAGTCACGAGCCCGAATAGCTTCTCAGTGGTGGTAACGTCTATGACTGACTGACTGCAGTACACATTGGATGGTGACACCGGTTCTAAACTCAGAAGGAGGAACATGAGTTGTTCCTTCAATATGGTTGCATATACACTCCCTGCTGACTGACTAACTGACTGGTGAGTGCCAACTAGCACGAAATCTTGGCCTAGGCAAGGCTTCCTTCCTGTGACCGATTGCCTCCAACCATCTAATATCAACAATTCATAATGCACCCTGATGGCGAGCCACATTGCAAACTTGACTGACTGATAGAATTCAGCCTGCACCAACACCAAGGAATAGCCAGGCACACACATCACACTAGTTACTGAATGACTAGTGTCCAATCAAACACACCAATATTGTTACTGGCGAGACCATTCTAGAATAATAAATATAGACATACATATAATTGCAGAGGCAGATGAGGAGGAAATTATCGAAAAGGATATTCTTTGCTCATTTATATTTTTTGTTGTTTTTTCTAAATGTCTGAATGAATATTTTCGCCATATATTTGTATGCTGTTGTGTAATTTTCAAATACGCTTGCCTACAGGAGACAGGAGTATAATGTCTCCCACTCTCTTTCTCCATCTTTCTAGTGATCTATTGACCTGATCGATGGATTGATTCATTTATATATAAAATAAACTACTGATTTATGTATTTAATAGTAATCGATACAACATCGTCTCCCTCTTGTCAACTTTTTTTCGAGTTAGTCCAGTGAACGAACCAACACATTTGGTAAGATAATCCAAGAGAATAGCAATAATCACGGCTTCCTGAAAACAACATCCTCATTGTCTAAATCGATCAAAGCTGGTCCATCGTCATTAGCACGTGTTTTACCACCAAAATTGAATAAATTATATCCGATAACAACAACCACAACGCCAGCAAAAATAACAACAACAACAAGACAGTTGACAACTTCATCCCCTACATCAAAATCATCTCTATCATCTGGTGGAACACTACAGCTGACATCAACAACTACAGAGGCTTTAAAAAAACACAATCTAGTCTAACATATCTATCAAAGTGTGATTGGAAGCAGTCAAAATAAAAACAGTTGTACATGATATATATATGTATATCTATCTATATATTTATATCTCATTTCATATATCTATACACATGTATATTTTGAATTGGAATAAAAATTGTAACGGAAGCACATCACTGTAACAAAAGTTCATTTTTGTGTTTGTTCAATGTGTGTTGATTTGATTCGTTGCCTTCAAATACAAACAAACAAACAAACACGCCTTTTTTCTCTCATATTGCTAACAGTTTTTTTTCTTTTTTTATTCTTTGAGGCTTTTATGCTTGGAGTGAGTGATGAATGTTTTACCAAATAAGGGGGTGACAATTGTTCTTCTATTACTTGTGAAATGTTATTCAGATAGAGAGAAGGTTAGATTGATGAGTGACCAATGACCCACTCGTCCAACTGGGATTCTACTCAAGTGATGGCCTACCTTTATTACGTGTAATGTCATTCGACGGTCTCCTTCCTCGTTGTATGCTCGATCAATCTACCTTCAATCCATTTCTCCTACATATTTGTTGAGTAATCGGCTCTTGCCTGTTGCTTAGTTCCATGTGAAGAATTTCTTGTTACAAATTCTTTCTGGTAGAGCTTTTGATCTTCAGTATTGAGCCAGTCAGTCAGTAAACGTGGCAGTTGTTGGTAAAAGTCTACATCTCGTGACGCACTGGCCAAGTTTTAGATCCATAAAGTAGAATTGACTGACTGGATTCATATTTTTGTTAAAAATCCGATTCTTGTTCTTTATGCTGGCTAAGTTATTGCAGAAGATTTGCAAACTGGTTTCAGGTTGATGAAGGCCTGCGTATCTTGCTTGTCTTCCCCATTCTGGTTGGCTGGGTAGGCTCTGACATCTTCATTCGTGTAATCCACCTGTGATTAGTGAATAAACGTTCTGGGAGTGCACAAAAATCCAACAGAATTCACTATAGCCAATATTCTATGAATGAATACTTAGTTAGTAGCGTGCAGATTGTTAACTGAGGAACTCTTCACAGCTATAACGAAATGCTTTGTCAACAGCCTGTTTTGTTGATGTTGAGAGAGTACTACTTTCCAAGAGTGTTGCCAAGTTTTTCACTCGCCTTTAACGCTGATGCGATTGTGTTTGCGTGTATGTGGGATTTAACACTTCTGACCTGCAGTTCAAACATTCACACTTCAATAAGCATCCTTACAAATAAGTGTGTATGTGTATGGCTGATAAATAACAAAGGCTTACTATAGAATTAACTCAAGATTACCTATATATGTGCAGACCAAGTTCACTTTTAACAGTTTAAAAGAATTTGGCCATTAGTATTCGGTATATCGTATTCATTATAATAAAGGCTTTATTTTGTATTTCCCAATGAGTGAATGAAAAACAAAAAAGGATATTGTTGTCGTTGATTTTACTGATGACGTTTTGCTATTTAATGCTACTGCTGCTAATAGATTTATCATCAAAGGAGTAATACTAAACCAGAGAAATTTACAAAATCCACTCAGCTTATATACAATAACAACTTAATCATCGTTCCTCAGCATGGCGGATAATTCTGTTTACGTTGTTGTCAAGTTGGCCAATTGGTGAAGATAACAAAACCAGGTGAGTATAGATGACTGTTGGATTTGATAAGTGTATAAAATCATACAAAAGCAGCATGTATTTGCATAACGAAATTGTTTATAACATTCGTGTTCATTTTGTCATTCGATGCGAGAAATCTAGGGTATTGTGTTGTAATCAGGACAAATTCTGTTTCAGTTCATCATTCTTATTCAGTTCAGACAATTTGGATTCCATTTGGTGATATGAAGTACTTCTAATGATATGAGACTTTCTTTGTGATTTTCCAAACTGTTTCTGGATGATGATTTCAATATTTTCAAAATCAATTTTGTGACCTGATTGATTCTGTAGCTTAGCGTGGCGTGTAGACGGCCACCTGTGTCTGATGATTCTTCAAGCTTTTCTAGGTAACTGGATTTATTTCTCGGTGGTCGAACAGATGCTCTACAACTCATTTGTTCTGATCCCCTTGATTTCTCTCTAGCGATGTTTTTCCGATGTATATCAAATCACATAACATTTCAAGCATTTTATTTTGTAGACGCAACTAGATGGAAAATCCTTAGGGATTTGCTATTTCATGTGGACAAGGTTGCTTTGAAGTGTGCGTATCTGGTGTTTTGAATAAAACTTCGATGTTTTGATGTTGAGTACCCTTCTGATATCTTTCGTCTGATGTCTCTGATCTATATGTAATGACAACTGTTCAGGTGCATACATGTCTTCGATATACGTTTTCGACCATACATTTATTGTTGTTAGCGTTGATTTTGCCGATGAAGTTCTGTGTGTAGTTATTTAGCTTGTCAGTCTCAGTAATGTTTGATAATTCTTCTTCCTTCTCATCCGTTAACATCAAGCAGTGTGCTCAACTAAGAAGACTTGAAACAACTGATACCTTTGCTCTGATTAGAGTGTGCCGATCCGAATTCTAAATATTTATTGTTGAAGTGAAGTTTGCCTCCCGAATGAATCTAGATATACTGAAATGTCCGTTTTCCCTCCTCTTCACAGGACAGGCAGTCTAGTTAATAAGAGGTAGTTCATCAACGTCGTCTGATTCTGCCTGCTTCCAAAGTGAACTGGATGGATGCTGTGAGGTAGATTGTGCACAGTTTCTCTGCAAGAATGAACTGTGATGTAGATCTCATTTTAGCACTACACGCGAGTATCATCAACGTATCAACAATGTAGGCATATTTTAGGCATGATTATGCTTGATAAGATGTCTATGTGCAATAAGGCATATATTAAAGGGTATATTCCCTAACAAAAACAGAAGATGGTCAGATGACTGATATTCGATTCACATAGATCGTAGTTCTGAACTGTTGAACAGGTCTGTGAAATATAGACTAATAGATTGATTCATGGAATTTCATTAATCAAAATGAAACAAACTGATATCGAGTACCATTTCGATAACCTTTACAACCAAATTATGCGTCTTTTGTGAAATGTGATATCATATTACAATTAGGGTTGGCTGAATGAAATCAAAGCCATTTGATATTTGGATGAGGCAAGAAGAACAACAATAGTGCATGTTTGTGCAGAATAAGAAGATGGTACCATGATTGTTTATTTCGTTCGTTGGCTTCTTATCAGGTCAGCTGCTGCTTACAGCCCAGAGTCATTATTAAGTATATGTACAGAAACAATTTTAACATGCTTGAACACAGAATTCATTTTTAAACAAAAATCAATCAATCAGTATATGCATACAACAATAATAAGCACTTTATCTCAAAGAACAATAATCATTATACACAAAGGAAATATTCGACATTACGTAATCAGATGAAAGAGAGGATGAAAACATCCAGTTACCAGGCAGAGCAGCGCAAGGTAAGACTGATACTAACTGCTTCTTTCTGAACACATAAATCTGGTTTATGGTGCTTGATGGAGATTGCTTCGGGAAGCTCAAGGAGAATCGAATTCTTTCGCACATTGATAGTTTTTAACGATCTCGCGATGTCCACCTCATGACCCGTGTCATTAGGAATCCTCGAGACAACACTGTTCAAACAGAGCATTAGTTCCCAGCTGAAGACATAGGCTATTTGGTACATGAGAGTTATAAGATTTGATAGTGTGAAATATTCCCATATTATGAATTAAAAGTCAATCTGAACGAAGAATATTCTTTTCAATAATTTTCTTCAGGTTCTTACAATTATAAAATATAATATTTGTGGTCGTTACAATAAAGATAGCCAGGTATGCGGCGGATACATTTTTTAACGTAGAATAACAGATTAGTTATGGGGTGTCAAAATAAATAGTCATATTTGTGTGACAAACGTGCTAGGCTGAAATCGATATTGTAAAACGGGAGACAATAGTGGTGGTTAATCATAATGGAATTGTAGAGTGTGGGGTAGGAAAATTGACAAATCAGTTCAAGGTTATAAAAGGTGTCAGGTGAGTGGCTAGTACAAAGTGGTCTGAGTTAAGCAGGATATAGTAAGACTGGAATGAGAGGTTCATAGTGAGATAACGAATATATTAAATGAAACAGGTGGAGGCATATATTGAGAAAACAGATAATATCACTAATAATAAGTCCGTACAAATGAAAATTCGATAGTATTGAGGGAATGTTTGCATAAAGGGCATAAATTATGACGAATAATAATAACTGATAATAATAATATTTATAATAATAAGCAAATTAAAAAAGAAAAAAAAACCAAGAGGGTTAAGGGGAAGGAGCACTCTTGGTGAGAAGAAAAATCTTCAATCCAAGGTTGGCCACGGTAGGAACAGCGTCTGGACGTGTTCCTTTTGGATACACAGTTCCGGTTTAGTCGATCTTATTGCAACAGCTTCAGCTATGTGTAGGAGACGTAAGCGAACTGTACGTGATAACGACTTCGGAATTCGGTATATAACTCTGAAAGCTGTGTTGACATCGATGCGATGTCCAGTATCGACCAGGTGTGACAGGATCGAGCTTTTTATGCACTTAATTTCCCCCCTGCTGAACCAAGCTGGTAAGTGTTCTCGAACCCGTAGACGAACCTGCCTAATCGTGCGCCCTATATAACTTGAACCACAGGAACAGTTGAAATGGTATATGCATGAAGAAGAGCTAAGGTTAGGTAAGGCATCTTTGAGTTGCTGGGTGAACATTGGACGGCTAGTGAAGGATAGACACAGACGTGCAGAATAGAAAGTTTTCTTGATCGCCCTGGTTAAACGTTGGGATAGAATCTCCGCAGGAGTATCTCCCTTGAATTGGAGACGTAAAAACAGAGGCTTTTTCTCCACAGTTGTCAGTTCATGTTTACGGCTATTATAACCTATGTTGGCTTTAATGAACTTCTCTGGATATCCGTTCTCGCTTAGAATGTCTCGGATGATCTGGAGTTCTTTCTCTACGCACTCTTCAGAACAAATAGACCTCGCTCTAAATGCTAAGCACCTGATTAGATTACGTTTGTATTTCATCGGTACGAAGCTAAGGAAATGTGTATACTGGGCTTTGGTCTCTAGCTTTCTAAATATGGTTCTTTTGATGGAACCATCCTCTCTTCTCGTTAGTAGGACGTCGAGGAAGTGTAAAGAGTCGTTGTATTCTCCTTCGTAGGTGAAATGGACCGCTGGGTGAGCATTATTGAAGTTGTTCAAAATCAAATCACTATTTAACCCTTCATCGTACACTACAAAAGTGTCATCCATGTAACAATAATATCATTTCCATTTTCGCTATTTCCTCTTTCAACGGACTATTTTCTAGTTTTGCTAGAAATATATTCGCGAAAATAGGTCCCAGTGGGGATCCCATGGCTACTCCATCAACCTGTCTGTATATTTCATTATTAAATAGGAACTGAACATTCGTTGTGCATTTAACAAGTAGTTGTTTTAGGAATATCAGTGCACAATTTCTTTTCTATAATCTGTTCACAGATATAATCGATTGTTTCCACTAGAGGCACATTCGTGAATAGAGATGAAACATCAAGTGATGCCATATATTTGCCAGTCGCGTTCAGGTTTTTTATCTTATCAACAAATTGAAAGGTATCCTTGACGCTGTGTTTTACTAACTCGTCATGCAAGGGTTGAAGCAGCTGTACCAGCCACTTTGCCGTCTCGTGATAGGGTGAATAGGACATGTCTAATATGGGGCGTAGGGGCAGGTTCGTCTACGGGTTCGAGAACACTTACCAGCTTGGTTCAGCAAGGGGGAAATGAAGTGCATAAAAAGCTCGATCCTGTCACACCTGGTCGATACTGGACATCGCATCGATGTCAACACAGCTTTCAGAGTTATATACCGAATTCCGAAGTCGTTATCACGTACAGTTCGCCTACGTCTCCTACACATAGCTGAAGCTGTTGCAATAGAATCGACTAAACCAGAACTGTGTATCCAAAAGGAACACGTCCAGACGCTGTTCCTACCGTGACCAACCTTGGATTGAAGATTTTTCTTCTCACCAAGAGTGCTCCTTCCCCTTAACCCTCTTGGTTTTTTTTTCTTTTTTAATTTGCTTATTATTATAAATATTATTATTATTATTACAGTTATTATTATTCGTCATAATTTATGCCCTTCACGCAAACATTCCCTCAATACTATCGAATTTTTCATTTATACGGACTTATTATTAGTGATATTATCTGTTTTCTCAACATATCCCTCCACCTGTTTCACTTAATATATTCGTTATCTCACTATGAACCTCTCATTCCAGTCTTACTATATCCTGTTTAACTCGGACCACTTTGTACTAGCCACTCACCTGACACCTTTTATAACCTTGACCTGATTTGTCAATTTTCCTACCCCACACTCTACAAATCTATTATGATTAACCACCACTATTGTCTCCCGTTTTACAATATATTTCAGCCTAGCACGTTTGTCACACAAATATGACTATTTATTTTGACACCCCATAACTAATCTGTTATTCTACGTTAAAAATGTATCCGCCGCATACCTGGCTATCTTTATTGTAACGACCATAAATATTATATTTTATAATTGTAAGAACCCGAAGATAAATTATTGAAAAGAATATTCTCCGTTCAGATTGACTTTTATTGGGTACATGTTCAGAAAATCGGAAGTATGCCCTTCTCCTTCTTTCTGTTCTTTCAATTTAACTGTCCCCGCGGATACTTGCTCACAAATTTGTATATGCAGTTTGAGTTGTTAACATGAGGAGGATATCTGTCGGATTTTGATCACAGAAGAGGCGAGCAAATTGTTCAGTAGACGGGCTCTGCTTATTGGTTTTCTCAACTGTGATTTACCTGAGATTTGTGCCTTCCGATCTTCCGTACTTGTTAACGAAACTTTAAGGGTAACCGGTGCTTTTTAAAATCTTTTCGGGAATCATAAATTCTTCCTCTACTTTCTCTGTAGAGCATAATCTTCTAGTTCTATAGTACAGAGTCTTGACTAGTGATCGTTTGAAGCTAGTGTAGCGGTAAATAATTCCCCAAAATTATTGACCACAGCAATCACTCATTGGATGCTGACCACCACTGTTTAAGTCGACTTGTTTAGCTGAAGGCTTCCGGTCAAGCATCCCCGCCATTTGGTACCCCGTCGTGTCGCGTGCACGATCACTAGCCAGCTAAGCGTTCGTCTGACGGCTTGTTTTGGTCCCGAAATATATCACGTAGTTTGGACGATCAAATATTGGCTTTTGCTTTGTCTTTGGTACGCGAGAATAAATTAATTAGAAGTTGCTGAACGAGATATCCGTCAACCTCTAAACTAGCTATTTGGACAAAAACTACTGAAATGTAGGTATTGTCCTTTCCATGGGCTGAACACAGCTGAGCTGATGAGAAGCCAACGAAATAAACAGTGATGGTACCATTTTCTTATTCTGTACAAACCATACTGTTTGTTGTTTTTCTTGCTTTATTCAGATTCATTAAGAGGAATAAATGTATGAAAAATTTGATATTGCTGACTAGTTTTCAGTCCCCCACCTAATCAAAATTCATTAATTACCAGAGTACAGTGGAGATATTTTTCCGGGCAGTCGAAATACATCCACCTAATTCTGCATCCTAAGAAACGATAGTGTCTAACACTGACAACACATAGAAGAATACACAGGAAAGATGCGTAGAACAAATTCCGTTGAGAGAAAATTTAAAATTGGTATCAATGCAAAAGACCCATCCTTGTTTGTCCATTGAAAGATAAATTGTGCAGCATCTACGACAACTGTTCAGAAGAAATGTATTGATAAAACACTTTCAAAACAATATATGTCTAAACCAAGTTCACTTTTAACGGTTTGAAAACATTTGGGCAGTGGGTGGTATATGATATTCATTATAATAAAGGTTTTCGTATTTCTCAATGAATGAAAAACAAAACGATATTATTGCTCTTACTGACGTTTCGCTATTTAATGCCTTTAATAGCTTTATCAAAGCAGTATTATTAAACCGGAATTTACAAAATCTCAGCATATATATAACAAAGAGTTAAGGGGTGAAAAAATAGACTTAGGTCAAGTTAAAAGGAGGACATATTGAGATTCAAAATAACAATGAGGATCACTAGAACCAAATATCAAAGGTAATAGTATATCTGTTATTATATCAAAACAAAGTTTACTAACTTGATCATCGTACGTTAGTCTGAGATCATTTTTGGTTGTCAAGTTGGTCAGTTGGTAAAGATAACAAAACTAAGTTTAGATTGTTGGATTTTGTCAGTGTGTAAAATTATAAAAGTAGTGTGTGTTTATATAGTGAACTTGCTTATCAAATTTGTGTTGATTTCGTCACTTCATGGGGAGGGTGAGCGTGTTGTAACCAGGTCAGGTTCTGTTTTAGTCCATCATTCCTATTCAGGCAATTTGGATTCCACTTGATATGAAGTGCTTCTGATATTAGACGTTCTTTGTGATTTCTGAAGTTTTTCTGGACTATTTCAATATTGTCAAAACCAATTTTGTGGCCTGATTCTATGGCGTGTAAACTTATGGCTGATGATTTTTCAAGTTTTTGTAGTTCAACTGGATTTCTCGGTGGTCAAAGAGATGCTCTACGGTGTTCATTTCTTCTGATTTTGATTTCTCGAGATGTTTGTCCGATGTATATCACATCACATTCCAAGGAAGTATTTTATTTTTTAGACATAATTAGATAGAGAATCTTTAGGGGTTTGGTCTTTTATATGGACAAGTTTGCTATGAATGTTGTGTCTGATGTTTTGAAGAAAACTCTGATGTCAAGGTGATTGAGTACTCTTCTGATATCTTCTGAC